CAAGGACAAGTGCAAACCTATAGGCCCAGGGCTTTGGAGCGGCTACGCAGAGAATCCCTAAGGGTTGCGAAGATACCTGATTCAGAATCAGACGGGCTGAAGAATCTCCCTTGAACAGTCCACCGCACACCCATCCATCCAGAGTGGGAAGTTTTGACTTGAACCATTCAGAGGTCTCTATACACTCTCCACGAGGCTGCAATAATGTTCCTAAAGCCTCCTAAGACATTATATATCCCTTCAACTTATCCCAACCCTCAATGTTCTGAAGGCGAAGTACGAGGATCATCAGCTCTGGGTCTTCTCCGGATGCCAGGATGACCAGACCAGCGCCGATGCGCACCATGGCCATGTCTAGGGGGTTTAAATGTTTAGGGATTTAGGGTTAGGGGTTTAGGGGTTTAGGGGTTTAGGGGTTTAGGGTTTAGGCGTTTAGGGTTTAAGGGCTTAGGGCTTAGGGTTTAGGGGTTGATATGGAACTAGAGTCTAAACTCGGTAAAGGGGGTTACATAGGGGATTCTACAGCGGAGTATGAAAGGGATAATTCAGAGGGATATTATGGTGTACTAAACTATAGTGTATATATATATACACATGTATATCTACATTATAGTCTTTACAGATATTCTAAGATCTTACAGTATGCCTTCTGATGAGAGGGTTGCCTGACACCCGGAAGCTTTAGCTGCCAGTGGTTTAAGGTTTCGGCTGTAGGGTTTAGGGTTTATAGTCCCCCTTAAGTAGATAGAATATGGGGTATATGCGGATCTTATTATAATATACCCAGAGCCATATTCTATCTACTTAAGGGGGACTATAGGTTGTAGGGTAGGTCTTTCCTAAGTTTGACATAAAAAGACCTGCCAGGTAAACGGCCAATGCGGCAAGGCCCTGCATGTAAGACCTCCGTGGAAAAATATCACGCTGACCCTGCGAACAGCAATGAACTTCTAAGCCACCATGCAGCACAAGAAGCCTGTTCACCTTCATCCATATGGTAAGACTGGGCCTAAAGGGTCCGCAGTGTACCTCTATGGAATTTCATCACCCTATGTACGAATGATGTCGAGTCTTTGCATTTTATGGAGGCGGGGTCGTTACTGAGTGTGCCCTGGGCCTTTCGATTCTCCTGCTGCACTTAGGCTGGGCAATTCAAAGCGACCTCACCCGACCTCACCCTAAATGGTGGTTTATGCAGGGAGTAGCACCAAACTGGCCTTAAATTGGGACTTGATATTCTTCTAAATTATCCTGTGAGGGTCATTCGGGGTTTTGGATCAACAGGATCAGGGGTGTCAAGGTTGCACCTAAACCCGAAACCCGGCCCTAACCTCCCCAACTCAGCATGGCACCCCATATTGGGGCTCCTCAAGACAAGGGTACCCTTGGACCCCAGGGATTTGTAGGGAGCTTATCGGATGATAGGGGCCCCTTTGTGGACTATGTCGGCTTTGCTATGAGAAACTCCCATTAAGCCCTGTTTTAAAAGTACGGCAGTCTATCAAGTCCTACTTCTGGGCAAGTAAGTGTAAACCCTAGACCCTAAAGTGTCCTGAGTCCTGCAGGCATGTGGATGGCATCTACCAGGGAGCTTTTACTTGGGCTCTCATCAAGGCTGCCCGTCCAAAAGGTTCCAAATACCTACAAAAACTGTTCTGGAACCCGATGGAGGCATGCTACATAGGGCAGTAGGAGATACAACGTATACTTGGGGCCCCAGGGGTGAGAAAAATCAAGGGTAGTTGGGGGCTCAAGTATCTAGCAGATGTAGGTACCAGAACCCTTCAGGTTTTACACGTTGGGTATCTCCAGAATTACTTGCTTTTGGTGTCCACGACGCAAGAAGCAAACTGTACTACGGGTCCGCTATTCCTGCCATGCAATTCCAGTTGTTTGAAAAGCCATATTTTTGTACCAAAGTCGATTATTGGCGATTATCCTGCATATTTGAGGGCTTCGTGGCTCCAGCAAGCTTCTAGGTGTCCCTGCTCAGTTTGTCAGGCTTGGGAACGAAGCCTTAGGCCTGGGATTTGGGATGTCCTAGCTACTTCTCATGGACAGCCTTATGCCGAGGCCTGCAGCAAGAAGAAGGGTTGAAACTGGGCTCAGGCGAATGTGACGCCATGATCGATAGAGCACAACAGGGAGCATGAATACTTGGAATATTTATTTGACGCATATAGTTTACTGTTGCGCTACATGGCTTATGAGGAGACAATGATGGACATGATTTTCCACGTTTGGCAGTTCCGAGCCGATGTAAACAAATACCATGGAACCCCAAGGGTAGGGGAAACCCAAAAGTTATAAACAGACACTATCCTACCGTCTCTTATAGCTATCGTCATAGATGACACTAGTGTTGGGTAATATGCTTGCCTCGTTCCGTTCCGTCAGGGCTGGATTGGGGTTGCATATTCGCCGTTTCTGTACATCTGACATCGCTCTTAGAGCTAAACCCAACCCTAAACCCTAAACCCAGAACACCAGAACATACTGGAACCTGAAGCCCTCCCGGGAACTCACAGCGAAGGCTCTGAAGTCGGATGGCTACATGGAGCCCTGGAGATAATTTAGTCGAATAGGGATATATACAGAGAGGTGTTTAGAAGGGTGGCTAGGGTATATAGGGATAGGGTGAGGTGTCCATGGGCGCAATGTTTGGACGCTTGAGATTTGGGGCCAGTAATTGGAGTACAGCTTCTGTGGAAGGATATGGCTTTTCAGTATTCAGACCCCTATAGTGCTATGTTAGCCGCAGTCAATACTCATTTGTAAAGAGTAATGTCAGTAGCAGACATGGGAAGCAAAACCCTGTAAAGCGACGGGAGAGCTGAAACGCGACACCCCAGAGTTTTCAGGCGAAAGCATTGCAAGGCGGTGGGGAACATTCAAAAGCGGCAGCCCGAACTTCGCACGATTGCAGGTTGAGTGCAAAACTGCAAAACCTAGCAAAGCGATGGGAGCATTGAAAAGCGACTCCCCCACTTCGCAGTACATTGCCAAAAGTACACGTTCGTTCCTCCGCTCCTCCGTAAGCACCAGTACATCTGCTTGAGTTTCCAAACCTCGCATATCCCAAACTAATATGGAGACCCATATAGTCCCCTTTTGAAAGAACACTAGTCTTTGTTAGGCCTTGTAGGGGTTCAATCTTAATCTGTGGGAGGGTAGTTATACCCTAAACCTTATAAGAGCTGTTGTCGAACTCAGCCTGTGGACATAGCGGCCCCTCTTGAAGCGCAGTCCGTCCTATATTCCTTGATAAGCCACCCATACTTTTGGGGGGAGCTAAGGAGCTAGGGATAGTCTACATAAATATAATAAGGGGAGCTAAGTAGCCCAGGAATCTCCAAAACCATAGGGGAGTAAGGAACCATGTCCACTAATTATGTTGGGATTTTTTTGGCTGTAGCGTTTATATGTATACATATATAAATATATACTCACACATACATATCCCTAGACAACCCCCTGTATTCTCCCGAGAAAGCCCATTAAACGTGGCTCCGTGTAGCTGAGGAGAGCTACAGCAACCTGCTTCTCCAGATCAAGTCGAACCTTGAATGCAGTTGGACTATTCTGAAAAATGGGTCCTGGTAACCGAGAATTAGTCATAGATTGTTTGGAATCATTGTACGGCACCTACATTCTGGCGCCGCAAGAAGTGGGGACCAACTATGGAAGCTATAGGCCATGCAGCTGTCAGGGCTGCGCTGTAGACACAGGATGCACTTGCTAGCGTAATGTTCTGCCGGTCACAGTTACAGTTTGAGCAATTGAATATGTCATGTTTGGTGCGGTTGGATGGGGATGGCCCTGCTGCAATTGAATATACCATGTTTGGGGCGGTTGGATGGGGAAGGCCATGCTTAAAACGGGTGATAAGTACATTACGAATGCATGCTTACAGTCTCCTCTCGATCCCCATCTCCCTGAACCCGACTCAAGCTGTCCCTTCTTTTGCCACTTATGCGGTCAAGCTCCCTACTAACTTACACGAGAACCTGACCACAAGGGCATAATGTTGGCACTCATTCAGGCTTATCGACATTAAGATATCTTACATAAGCCCAATTTTCATGTTCGCGTTCCTTGTGATTCTCCAGTATGACCCTAATCCCTACGAAGCCGCTATACAAAACCTAAAGCCAGCCTGCAGGAATCTGGAGGGCGGAAGCTACAAGCAGGTTCCTGCCCTGTCCACCACGCGCAAGACCTACCTGGACTATGGCTTCCTTCTTGACAAATTAGGGTTCAGGGTTTAGGGTTTAGGGTTCAGGGTTTAGGGTTGAGGGTTTAGGGTTCAGGGTTTAGGTTTTAGAGGGGGTGTGTTCTCAAATTGGGGGGGGGGGTACACCTAGGCACTTCTCTGAAGAGGACGTACAGGATACAGGCGTCCTGGTTTAGGGATTCGGGTTCCCTAAGCCCTAAACCCTATTCTATTGGATTTGCCTCCTGATGTGCTGAGCATTCACGCTGTTCTGGCGGCTGGCGTAGGGATTTGCAGAGACTTGTGTAAAACTCATGTTAAAGTGGCTTCAATATGTTTAAAGATAGCATAGTTGAGAGGGCGTACGTGATGCGGCGTGAGTATACCGAAAACAGGCCATGTAAAACGCAGCCTTCGGCACTGCCCACGTCGTTTTGCTCATCGGATCGGTACACGCTACATCCTCAAGCTAAAGGCCTAGACCTAAGGCAGGCAAGAACCCTAACACAACTTGTGTGCTCACCGGTCAAGCTCCCACATTTGCCTGCTCGCTCAGCTAGTTTTTGGGCTCGAATCGTGCAGGGCCTGGGGTTGGGGGTACAAGGGCTCAATGTTAAGACTAACAGGTCCGCATGACAAAGGCGTCCAACGATCATCTGAGCCATAGTCTAAACTCCTAGTATCCCACTTCATAACCTTTATAGTAGTCCCCTATATAACCCCTTATATAGCCCCCTTTAAGGAGTTTTAGACTATAACTGACCTCAGGACAAGCCACTCAAGGATTCAGGCCAGGTTTGCCTTCAATGCCTTCAACAGAGACTTGCAATCCCAATTCCGGCCAAGAAGATGGTTCTTAAAACTGCTGACAAGCACTAGCTACCTAGACCCTCCTTCTACCC